ATATACATACATATATATATACATACATATATACATACATACATATATACATACATATATACATACATATATACACACATATATACATACATACACACATATATACATACATACACATACATACACATACATACACATACATACACATACATACACATACATACACACATACATATACACACATACATACATACATATACATACATACATACATACATACACATACATACATACATATATACATACATACATATATACATACATACATACATACATACATATATACATACATACATATATACATACATACATATATACATACATACATATATACATACATACATATATACATACATACATATATACATACATACATATATACATACATACATATATACATATACATACATATATACGTATACATACATACATATATACATACATACATACATATACATACATACATATATACATACATACATATATACATACACATATATATATACATACATACATACATACATACATAATATACACACACACACACACACACACACACACACACACACACACAGGTGAAACTATCCCCCGCCGGACACCATCCCGGTATTTCTGAGTCAAGGTTTCGAGGCCTGAATTTTTTATGTTACTAGGTAGGCCTAACAATCAAGTATCAAAATAGGACTTTTAAGGATGATAGGCTCTAGGCTAGGCCTAAAATGTAGGCTAGCCAGCCTTTGTTGAAAGGGAACTTCATGAAAAGGGGGGTTCGTTCGAACCCAACGAACCCCCCTGGCTACGGGCTTGCGCGAAGACTTGCTTATACCACCCGAACAATGAGCAGGAGGGTCTAGAACCAGAAACGAATGTAAGGCTCTAGGTTACGACACACCTTTAGGCCTAACTACTTGATATAACACGATTTTGACGTATGAGGTCTTACCTGTTTGACCATGGTAGCCCCAGTTAGCTTTATATTTACCTGCAGAAAATATTAAAACAAACATGTGTTACTTCGCATAAACAATCGTTGCATAGGCATATTAGTATACGTACCGGTTTTTTCGCAACAAGTAATAATAATAATAATGGTTTATTAATAATAAAAATAATAAATAATGTAAGATTAGAATAATAATAAATAATAATTTACAATATTTATCAATATTTACGAAAGCCCGTTAGTGTCAACAGTGAATAAAAATTTCAGATAATTCAGATAATTATCTGGCGGCCGCCAGATAATTATCTGGCGGCCGCCACTTAATTATTTGGCGGCCGCCAGTTAACCGATTTGAAATTTTTATTAACTGTTGACACTAACGGGCTTCCGTAAATATTAATCATCAATTATCACACAAATAACCATAACGTAGAAAGGTTTATCTACGGTACTTAACGTATAGGCCTATTTAAATAGTTTGCAATGACTATACAATTTTTACAGAAATCCATGACTAGAGGAAATTGTTTAATCTATACTAAATAAGAAACGAAAAACCTCACTTGATCATTATCAGTATAATGCACTTGTACAAAAGTGGAATTAAGGGATGACGTGTTAATCCAGTTACATAAATTCCACAATCTGTCACACTTTTCACGACTTCAAACCATTTAACTATAATAACGAACTGAAAACATTTTGAAAACATTCTGGATCTGAATCTGTGGATAACAGACTATCCACAGTCCACATTAGTAATTTGTAGCACCTCGATACTGTAATTTATCCTTTTTATTTGTGCATCCAAGTGCCTAAACATGAATTTAAGCACAATACTTTCTGTCTACATAAGAAACAACACCGTGACCGTCCCAGATCCCAGACAGATAGGAGCTCTAACCGGCCAAAGCCAGTGGTCCAAGCTTTGGGGCTCCGCGATATTTATCATTTTCTCTACATTAGCCGAGTAGGGAGTTAACGAGGCGTACGTAAAAATCAAATACTACCTTAAAATCGGAAACGCCGAAGCGGACAGGGCTTTGTCCAGTACCGTACACTAATCACTGGACACTACCCGGGCGCAGCTGCCAAAGTAGGGCCCATAAAACGTTAGCCTCATAAGTCTCTAGGAACGCCACTGAGCTCATAGGGATTTGTTATTGGCATGTATTAAGATACGGCCTACGCATTGTCACAGATGATTAGACGTGCTTGAGAAAATGCAAAACTTTCTTTTAAAATTTATTACAAGGCCATCTCTATATTCGGCCCTACTCTCAGTGTTTTTATATGAAGACAGACACAACGGTTTTCGGTTTCAGTATGATTGTACAAACTAAAAAATGTTTTCTTAGGCGTATATGGAAATACAATTAAAAATGCAAGCACTTTCAAATATCCATAAGCCATATTATTACCAACGATAATTTACTGTTAACTAATAAGAATGCCGGCCTATATCTAAATCATAAAATATAAAAATATAGGACGCTTCAAACAATTTAAAGAAGATGAAAACATCTTTGTGACAGAAAATATTTATTAAATTAAGATTTTAAATATTTCTACAAGTCCTGCTGTAGTTTAAGCAAGAACGTGAACAGAAATCAAAATTAAGCTACATGAATGGCTAGATTTTTCAAAAATCTAGCCATTAAACATTCGGTGTTTTACTACCAGGCCAGAATTGTTCAATAAAGTTAAAATGAAATTTAAATTTAACCAATATCTCTATGGAAGGCAATAGCCGCCAAAAATAAAAAAAAAGTGAAACGAAGTATAATATTTACAACGTACAAACATTTACAAACACAACGTACTTTTACAAACGAGAAAAATATCACATGAAATCAACGCTTGTCATGAAACGTTTAATCGGATATCCTTTCTTGGTTTACGTATTAGTCATTCATTACATACATGGGTTTTTATTTGACCTATACAACTCATGCACCACTACTACCACAACAACATCCACCGCCAATTTCATGTCTGCGACCGATTGTCATAGGGCTTATTCTTGTCTGGTAACTTTAACCGTCATTCTCGAGCCTTTCTCAATGATCACGGATCTTTTAACCACGTTCAATGTTTGCAACGGATGCTAGCATTATTAACCATTAACATCGGATTTATCTATTATTTCCCATTTGGTTAATGTAAAAAATGTCTTTACATTGCATGCTATTCTTTTCAGAGAAGCGGACAATCACCTCCATCTCTTCTTAGCAAAAGGACGTTATTGAATATATTTTCTTTTCTCCTTTCGGATCAGGGGATCTTAATCGGACACGCCTCGAAATTTCCATTTCCCACAGTGGTGTATCTAGGTGCCCGAGGGTGGGTACACGCCTCCATTCTTTCCCTTCCCCAGTAGAAATGTTCGAAACAAAAGTATTACGCTCAAGTAGTTAAAAATCAACCTTATCTTATTTTGCGAGCTACCGCAAGTCCCCATTGTCTCCTTGCCCATTAGAAACGTTCAATTATTTACGCAACTAGACGGGAAGACGGGTGGACTGGGTGGTTCTGAGCTCATCAGAGCGTGAAGACCACAGTTGTCTGTATATTAATACATTTTACTATGTCATATATTTAATAAAATACAAGACTCACTCTAACAATAACTCTTGGATTATTTAATAGACATGTTTCATTTATTTAAAATATCAAAAACCTGCAAACAATCAACTTAAACTATGCAGTAATCACTTTAATTGAAGAAAATACAATTCAACAACTTCCAAATAGAGACAACCCGAAATGGCTTTTTATTATAAAAATTCTTTCTGTGAAGCATTGAGGCTCTTTATTTATTTATTTATTTATTTGAACATACACCTTTGAATCGGTGGAACTCAATATCAATTGGTGCGTTCGTACAAACAAACAAACAAACAAACAAACAAAAAGAAAAAAAAAACAAAAAAAAAAAAAAAAAAAAAAAAAAAAAAAAAAAAAAGGGGTAAAATTTAACAAACACTCAGAATACTCAGAAATACTTTACAGGTCAACTGTAAAGTAAATGCTTAAAATAACTAACCTACAAAATTAATTATCTTTAATTCAATTGATGTCCAAGGTTATTAGCTCGTGGTTCACGTCAAACTTAATCTAGATATACCCGTCTTGAAACGTGATACGATAATCCCCCTAGTTGCGTTCGATGCCAAGTTAGAGCCAGATAAACAGCCAACCAGTTTCAGGCCGTCGACGTCACACGGTGGAAAGGCTTGTTTAATAAAACATCTACTGAACCTCTAGTTCAGTAGACTATCGTCATCATCATCATCGTTATTATTATTACGATTAGTAGTAGTATTATTAAACAAACATTTAAAGAAACTTGCAAAAGGATAAAAACGAAATTGAACCGCAGTATCGCGTTTCTATCTTAAAAGACCTGGCCTGAGATTTATGGATTTAAGATTTTTTTAAATCACGCTTAGGCCTATGTAAACCGTGTACTGATGCATATTTACATGTTTAGAAGTATTCATTTTGAGTGATTCCCAGGAAAGAATTTGTATTGGCTCAAGAATAAGCTTTAAAATTTTAACACTGTGTACAAAAGGGGGGGGGGGGGAAGCTGCGGCTCCGGGGCCCTTAAGTGACTTAATTCCTTTATCTAGCTATAATTGAGTGGTTCACGTCGAATTTTTAACTAGTTAAGTGGATCTATATCTAGATAAAAGTTCGACGTGAACCAGGCTAATACCGACAGTACATAGGCCGAATTTGTTGTATGTTGATAAGAAGTATAGTGCGATTGGAAATATACCAACTCTTTATACTGACCGAGTACCGGTACCTATGACAAAGCTAAATTTGAGAAATAAACATTTTCCAGAAAATCTACACTCATTATTGGGCCTGTTCGGTATATTAAGAACATTCTGTAAAAAATAGTGACAAGCTGAAAACATACTTTGTGCATGGATGTGATTGTAATTAAAATACATACATATTAACTTTTCAGTAGCAGGTATGTTGACATGGGAACGGACAAACCAATTATTTCAGATACTGTTTACTACCGTCTAAAATAAGGGTGATTCCACTTTTTACAATTAACTAATCAATCAAATATAACCATCAAATATAATATTTTCAGACAGGAATTCCTACTAGCTTTGGGAATCATAGAATCTGTGATTAGCATCACCAAAAAAAATTTGTATTTTTATGGAAAGTTCAACTTGACCAACGTATGAACTGTATAATACTATAGGACCCAACTAAGATTGAGAGAGATAACGATGATATTTCATTTCATTATTCGTTTATTTATTTGACCAAACAATAGTCAGGAGCAGCTTAAGCAAAACTTCACTACAGGCCTACACTCCCAGGAACCATATTGATTGTGTTTATATCTTTTTTTAAAACCCCCCACCCCACTTCCTCTTTTTTTTAATAATTGCCTAATATCTTCACATTTTTAAGTTTTTACACTTGTTGCTTAGCATTTTAACAGAATTATAGTTCTAGATAATTATATAACATATAATTTATATATTGCGCACTTTGGAAGTTCTAACATGATTAAAACAATATTGTGATAACGAATGGCGACGCAGAATAGAACACAAAATGAATTTCCTATTTTTCTGATCTAAGTGTAACCTTAATTAAAATAATATTGAATTTAGATTTAATAATTCTAAAGTTAACTTTCATTAACAGTAGCATTTTGAATAATCATATAATAATTATTTTATCCGCTATCATGGCAAGGCATGCTGACAGCCGAAAATAAGCATTTGTTGGCTATGACCATATACACAAATTATAAACAAAACCATTTTAATCAACCAGCATTAATTTAATTTCTGTTCGCATCCTTTCGTATTTGTTCACAATTTTTTTAATATCCGTGTCGTAATGTTGATAGATCATGGAGTTATAAATAGAGTTCCTTTATGAATAGCTTGTTGAAAAGATGATTAAGGCCCGTAAGAACACGTTCCTGGCACAATGATAAATGGATTATTCTACACCAGGTCTATTGTCTCAAAAGCAAATATTCTGAACAATTCACGACTAAATAATATAGGCCAACATTCCAATTAAACTGATATGTATTTAAATTATTTATTTGCATATTTGTGTAAGTTTCAGATACATTGTGATAAGACTATCGAAGTACGCTAAAAAGCAGTACCGGTACGCTAAAAAACGTCTTACCTAAGCATATCCTGTCCTGAAAACAATTCAATATTAATAATAGTAAATATTCACATTGAGAGAATCAGATTTATACAGTCATACAATGCACATACCGTATGGTGACATGGAAGTAGTAATAAATAGGCTTATTATGTCTGTTTTGGTTAGTGTGATTCTAACCATATGGCTATAGCACCCAAACCTACCGAGGCCTGTGCGCTTTTTGACAACCTTGCGTAATTTTGGGTTTAACTTATAGTTTTTTTTTTTTTTTTTTTTTTTTTTTTTTAATGCACATTTTAAACGTTAATTTTATGAATATTTTTTTTTTTTTTATGTGATTGTACATTGTTTTTAAAAGTTTTATGCGAGCATTCAGTTTCCTTCGTTGAAGGATGAATAAAGTTTTACTTTGACTTTGACTTTTGTATCTGGAGTTTGAAACACTTAGAAAACGCAAAATGGGTTGACATGAAAGTTCAATTACACGCTCATTAATATTAAATATATGTATAATGACGTCATATATTAATAAATGCACATCTTTGATGTATGTTGCTTGGACAAAGTTTGAAACGGAATAAGAAGATGAAGGGAGAAAAATCAGAAAAATATTTTTTCCACTAAGCACTAAACGCCGATAATATCAATATTGAAATAATATTCAATTAAATATTATATTCTATTCAAGGTGAAATTTTCATCTTCTATTTTATATGTCAAATTTCATCTTGCGTAAAGTATACTCTCGAGGTTAATATCTATATCGATATATTTTCTATCTGTTGGTTGATGGCCCGCACGGAAATCATTAGCGGTTGTATTTCCACGTAATGTTACTTTTGGTCAATGTACGGTTTTCCAAATGGTGTTTGTGCATGGTGGCGATTGGTTGACAAGATAAAATAAACGGGTTCCCACCATTGTGTGAATGTTATTACAAATGTTTTTTTGGGCTATTCATTAACCTGATCCTTATACAATGGATTTTCAGTCTATGTAGTTTATAGGTTGTTGAGGAAGACGACTGTCTATGGCTTCCACAAGCAAAATATATTGTCGTTGAACCCAGCTAGCTAGTTCAAAGAAACGCATTTAACATAAAGTTTATTATAATATCGATATAAGGTTGTATAATATAGTCACGAGTTGCGTTGTGAAACGCTTCAGGAAACGCAAATTGTGTTAAGTTTAATTACCAGTGCATTAATTGGATGACATCATTTTAATAGGCATCTCCCCCTTTCATAGTTTTTGCTTGGATCAATTTGAAAGTCGACTGGAAAATGACAATATTTGAACAGAAAGAAAAACCCATGTGCAAAGAAAAAAAAAAAAAAAAACACCACACACACACACACTCACACAAAAGGAAATGTCCTAACTGTACAATGAAAGATTAAATTATCGTCATATGACTCTTTCAAGGACAGAAGAAAAAATGCACAATATTATTCACCATTAAATGCTTGTAGGCCAATGTTCGGATTTAACGCAACTCTATCGAGCAATGATTAATAACGATGTCCACATTTACTTTACACCCACGCCGATTATGTACGAAATTACAGCAAGTTCCCACAATTATAATCCAGTCTCATCTATCCAAAAATGCAATTCAAATAACCACTCAAGGAGACTCGGACATCTGCATGAGATTTTCGATATTTTTTTCCGATGATTCCCATTTTCAGATTTCTTTAGATTCGAAATATAGATAATTTTATACTCACCTACTACTATTCACCTACTGAACAGCTCATCAATGATAAATTGATCTTGTTGCGTCTATCATCAATTTATTTTGAAATAACGATGGAACACAAGGTGGTGCATCCAAATTGACGGATTCATCAAAATAAACAGACTTAAAACTATGCATACAAAACAATATTTTGAAAAAATCCCTACAAAGAAACTTAAACTAGCACAATATACAATCAAAATGCCTATCAAAAATCATACAGCTGCATCAAACAAAAATAACAAACAAAAATGTATGTAATATGGTAATGTGAATGAAAACCAAATACAGAATATCGCAAATATCAGCACCATGCCTCTTTACCAACGAATTCTCTTTAAGAAAAAAAAAAATTAGGGTTGACGTTGGGGTACGTGATAATTTTTATAATTTATTGTTTAATGAATTTCATTCATTGTATTTTGAAATTTATATTGTACACCGGTATATTACTGTTATTAATAAAAGTGATTAATGAGTGAGTATATAAAGTAAATGTAATGCTTTTCTTTTTTTTTTATAAATATTTTGCCATACAATTATTTTCCATTTATCTTTTTCCTATTTTATTTATTCATTCGTTTATTGTTTTTCTTTTTTTATTTCATTTAATATGTTAAATCTCAAATTTTTATTTGCTTTGGGCTAGTTGCACCCTCTGTTAATTTCATATTTACTGCATAAGACCTACAAACATTATTATTATTATTATTATTATTATTATTATTATTATTATTATTATTATTATTATTATTATTTTAAGGATGGATAAACAAACGTGAGAGCTTCAGCGATTCGTTTGCTTTGGTTAATACTTAGCCTTTCCCTAATTTTTGTTATCTTATTTCACGTTTTGTTTATGTTATGTACTAATGTGCCTACTGTTAATTCTCATAAATTTTTATTTGCTTTGGGCTAGTTGCACCCTTTGTTAATTTCATATTTACTGCATAAGAAAAAACAATTATTATTATTATTATTATTTATTTATTTTTTTTTAAGGATGGATAAACAAACGTGAGAGCTTCAGCGATTCGTTTGCTTTGGTTAATACTTAGCCTTTCCCTAATTTTTGTTATCTTATTTCACGTTTTGTTTATGTTATGTTATGTTATTTCACGTTTTGTTATGTACTAATGTACCTACTGTATTGTATTTTTTTTTCTGAAAGTCTAAATAAAGAATTAGTAAATTAATTTAACTTTTTTTACTATAAAATATTGATTCCTGGTGAATAATTGATCTTATATAACTTTACGATTTTTCAAAGAAATGCAATGCTATTACAGTGCGCGGACAAAATGCATTGGGTAACCCTCCTTTAATTCCAATTATTTTAAAATGATATTGGGTGAATGGTTACGTAATAAAGACAACAACATAGATGCTAAGCAGTATCCTCACGATGGCCTGAAAGTAATATTTACAAAACATCAACATTTGTGCTGTACAGCAGTTCAAAGTAGGCTAGCTCATTCAACACTATTAAAAAAAAAAAAACACAGCAACAAAAAAACATGCAGGATATGCCTAAATCAGACTCAATTTGTTACCGTATTGACTCACCGTAAGCTGGCAATGACAGGGATAACGCTATGAGGAGTTTCAAACACGGCATAGCGATACGTCGGTGGAGACGGACTATCAAATACTGATGACTGCACTTACGAGATCTTGCTGAACACCTAATTGTGTAAAGTAAATTATGTAAGAATTTGCACGCACCTGAAAAACAAACGCTATTGAGGGCGGTATTCTAAATATTTACTAAGAACTAATAAGTCAATGATGCACCATTAAAAATTGCAATGAATGATAAACATGAGATATACAATTTTAAGCAATCAATATTATCAGAAATCGTGCGATCCGTCTGAATTGAAATGTCTAAAATGTCATAGGTTTAAGTCTACTAACCGATAATTCTGAAATCGGTTCTTTATAGGATTAATGTCACAAGCCTATATAAAACATATACCTATTGCAGTTTCACACTAAAAATCATATGTAAATATAATGGAATTTACACATTTGAAATAAAATACAATATAATAAAACAATGATTTTAAATGAAAGCGGCCTAAGTAATTCCTCTCTAAGGCATACAATTTAAAAATGAAGAGAAAAACTATTCTATTCTTAAATCCAATATATAGCTAGTTGCACATCTATGACTCAGCAACATGCAATACAGCACATATAATATTATGGTATCCGTAAGATAAGAAATACGGTACTCATAAATTACCCTTTCAACTTGCGTAATAGCTGTATGGTCCACGTCCGGCCGAAGTTTCAAGAGTGCATGAGATAACTAAAAAACTAAATAATAATGTCACATACCGGTAACACCTGGGAACATCGCTATTGCATCATAAGTAGAACTAAAGCATACTAATCATATTATCACGTAACACCTGTCCTCTTCACAATTCTACTCATAACTTTTAGAGCGTTGTCCTCTGATGCTCCAACCTACATAACGCAAATAATTTCGAGTTCATGAGCTACGATTGTCATTAGTGTCCGACTCGCAATTCTAAAGGTTGACACCATATTTTATGAACATGGATCATTTTACCATGCTTCATCCGTGGAACTCAGGCCATTACACAGGAGAGGGGTTTCTAGGAGCGAGAGATCCAGGGTGCCTATGAGCCCTGGTGCAGTCTAGGAGAAGGGGGACTATTATGGGGTCAAACCTATACCCCTAGTAATATGCATGTGGTTGTAAACTCATCTTGAAGTTTCTGTGTTTCTGTCAGGTGTGGTGCTAAAGTTTTCACGAGGGGTGGTTGGAACCGATGTCCACGTGGAGATCAGGCATTGAATTTTTTTCCAGATGAATTGTGATATTTTTCTCCCCAAAAACTCGTCATTTATTCAGGCACATAAATATACTTTGTGTTGTTCTGTGATATAGATATTTTCATGTTTCGTAACAGTTTTATCTATTATTATGAAATACATAGTATAGTACAAGTATGTCGAGACTATTTATGTATTGCATTCTGGCCCGAATTAGTCTGCAGTTTATCTATCGATGCATTCATTGACATTTTAGCGAGGTTCATCCAATTGCGTTTTAAACTCCATGACTAGTCGAACTTACGTGACTACATTAAAATAATTCACTGTATCTGACATTAAACGAAATAGCAGTATATACCATGTTCATATTTTTTTTGTATCCGAAAATTCATTTTAAAGTAATGATAGCCAGACTTGATACCGCATTAAACCGAAGTCTTAGTGCCCCTTAAAAAGTGATGAAAAAGCAACTCCCATTAAGTCCTGTCTCCCTTGAACTTGAAAATAGTGTACCTCTATTATATTAGACTGTATAGTTCATAGCTTTTAATTCGCGTGAGTGTAGAATGCGGCATAATTTAGGACCAATGCAGTAATGTGTACATTTTATAGGGATGACGTACCGTACTGCCAGAAAAAAAATAAAGAAGGGAACTCATAGTTTCAAATAAATTTTGAATATCTCATTTATAATAGAATAACAAACCTATAGTTGCTGGAAGCCAATTTATGGGTCTTCGCAAATACCATGTAAATATTTAAATGTTGAAATATAATAACATAGGCTCACTGGAACATACAAAGGAAATTCTTTTTCAGAATTAGACGTAGGCCTACGTGACATTATCTTTCGTAAATGCTACATTTTTCAAATAAAATGTTATAACGAGAAGAGTATTACCTTCGATTATAACCTATAACGTGTGTAAAACATGTTTCGTTTTCAAATTACAACTTAGCAGCTGCTTCAATTCAAATTATAAGACAGCAACAAGATCATAGGTTTATAATATCTGTGACGTACCTGCCCAATGACGTAACATAAAACGTAATATTAACATACATGTTGTTAAAGCAATCATTACGTCATCATTTTGTCTTCAACGTCATACAATAACCTTACATATTCGACGACGGTTTACAATATCACTGGTCTAATAGTCTTTATGTATTTCATAAAGCAAGGTACACAATTATAAAAGTCGCTTTATTGAAGTGCCATAGAAAATTTAGTTATGCCTAGTAAGTAAGTAAGTAACTTACTTTATTGCTTCTCTTTTATAACAGAGGCACACCCGTAAAGATGTGCAACAATAACAAAATCAGTAAAAACTTAATTACTGTGATAAAATATAGTAAGAAAGTACTGCGGTAGAACGAAATATATATAAAAAAGGGTTTACAACAATAGTAGAGATAAAAAATAAATACTAATACTAATAATATAAGTAAGTAGGTTAATACATACACTTATATACACACACACATACATATATACATATATATACACACACACACATATATATATATATATATATATATACATACACACATACGCATGCATACATGTACATACATACATACACACAAAATACAGACATGCATATACACACACATACACACACACATACATGTGAATGAGCTACAACCGATGACATTGAAATAAACCCTTACAAGTGGGACATAGTTAATCTTCGTTTTTTTATGTTAAAAAAACGTGTGTAATGTTATATCTGTGAGTAAGCAAGGGATGTTTAGCAACAGCCCTAATATTGAGTGGGCCACTGCATAACTGAATACGAGTATATCACAAGATACCGCTGCTTATTTTTACAACACACAACGTGTGTCTATGAACTTGGAAAAATTCCTAACTAACAGTGACATTTGAGGAAAAGCTCAGATATTTCACCAGGGGGTATATAGAGGGAGCTCTCACTTTTTAAAGCTGTTTTGAGAATTGGCGACGTCATCGCTTGTGTGTCTTCACAGGTGTGTCATCGGTTGGTATGGGTTCACAGGAGCACCCCCCCCCCCTCACACATATTCACACATACATATACATATATACATATAACAGAGTAAATATTGCTTAATAGGTAAAGAAATTAACCTTAATGTGCGCATTGCCGGACGAATATTAGGGGTTAGATTTCTGACTAGCCCCAATAGATATTCGATAGGCCGATAATCATAAACAGCTAGACCTGTCCCAATGTTTTGCAGCTGACTGACCTAATGGGACACATTATATAGTCATATACTACTATGCATGGAGCTGTACAATTTCATAGCTCTATGGTATAAGGAAAATTATACCTAAGGATCAATTAGTGTATTAATAAATTGCCTTGGTATGACCATAGAAGCCCTCGGGATTTCTTTTGTAGCTCCATGGTATAAAGATGATTACGCTATAAGGAGCAATTAGTGTATTCCCAAATTGCCTTAGTATGAGCCATCGGGGATTTGTTTTACAGCTCCATGGTATAAAGAATATTACACTGAGCAATTAGTGTTTTCACAAATTGCCTTAATAAGAACTTAAGGGCATTTTTTTTCTTTCAATAATTGCTTTTTGGTGCTCTAATTTCAAACTAATGCATGGAAAACAACTATACTATTTGCTGTTGTCATAATGATATACCCTGATATTCATCACTAACAGAAGCATAAATGCCTTGATGACGCTTCGGTTTGACGAGCACCTGCCGTTGGGAAGCTCCGGTAGACGATTCGGTCGTTGATTGGCTGCGTTGGTCGGTGATTATCAACCAATAGCACGGGTTCTAATCCATCTTGATAATTATTCTTCTCATACACATTACGAAACGCTTGTATCTGTCAATAATAAATATAAATTTCTGACAAAATAACGTTGCAAAAGTTGATACAACATTGTGTTAACGTGATTTTCTTACATATAATATAGGCCTAACCACAACGTCCACAAGTTCGCAAGTACAGAGTAGAACCCCTCCTTTTAGATACCCATAATACGGGGACACCCCTATAATTAAGGAGGCCTTTTCGGCTATAAAACGAGGAAAAGTATATATTTTAACCCTATGACCAACCACAATTCAGGGGACAACCCACTAAGGGGACGCAAAAGCGTCCCGAAGGTGTCCCCTCAATAGGGGTTCTACTGTATTTCGCTTTATGTTTGCTGCTCTAACTTCTTCATGTCGAAATGTAACCGAAATATCAAATCTTACTTGATTTCGTGAAACTTTAATTGGTTCGTTGAAGACAGTCCACACAACGCTTTCATAACAATCCGGCGTGGTGAGGGAACCATCGTAACGAAAATAGTCATCTAATTTTGTGGGTAACAGCGAGTTAACCTTAAACGGAGCACGGAATTCGACCGAGTTGCCTGTTCAAAAAAACAAATGTTTTGAATAACGTTTTTAACGAGAGTGCAATAGTTTTAGTCGTAGAAATACAACTGACAAACTTATACTTATTACTGTATAATAGCCGTGCTTCTTCAACGTTCTGAGTTAAAGAGAGTGATTGAAAGTATTAAGGTATCACCTTCTAAAGGAACTTTGTCAATCAAGTCAACAAGAGGTTGGAATGCTTCATTCTCGTTATTTCCATCAATCTGACAAAAATAAGTAACGCATGAATTGTTTAGTATTTCGATATATATATATATATATATATAACAGAAGCCAACCGAAAGAGTTCTGGAAGAGTGAGCTGGGGCGGAAGCAGGATTTGGCGGTAGGGGGTGCGTGCAAAAATTTAAGGAAATAGTACCTGTAGATGACCGGAAATGACACTTTTATATAGTAAAATTCATCATCATATCACCATTATATAGTCAGCGATTAATAATGTAATGTATGTGTAATGTACTCATAAAACCTAAAAACATTCTCTTTGATGTATTTACTTTACCTACTTCAAAGCCGCGAGTCCACAAACACCTCCACTCTACTATGTGTTGGGGGCGAGCTGAGAAAATTTGAGGAAATAGTACCGCTAGATGGCCTGAAATGACACTTTTTTAATCAGGGATTTTCGGCAACAACATAGATCTAATTAATACGAGTGATGTACCATGGAAAATAAAACTAAAGAAACACTTTCTTTGATGTATTTAATATACTCGACCTACCTCAAAGTCGTACCTAAAGTTGGCCGGAAATGACACTTTTAAATAGTAAAATTTATCATCATGACATCACCATTATAATATAGTCAAAATGAAGCGCCAACAAATTCTCCTGATCTTTTATCAGGTATTTTCGGCAACCATAGAGATCTAATTAGTATGTGTGATGTACGTTACCATAGAAAGTAAAACTTAAAAACATTGTCTTTGAGGTATTTACTTTACTTCAAAACTCTGACTCCAAACGTCTCTCAGCTCTACCACAGTTGGGGCTGAGGGGGTAAAATTTGGAGAAATTGTACCCCTAGATTGCCGGATATGACACTCTTATATAGTATTCATCATTATCGATCTAATTAATCGCTGTGATGTACCATAGAAAATACTACTTCATATGCCGAAACCCAATCTTATATCTTTGCACGCTTTTTTTTCACTTCTCAAATTATAATAAAGGCACGCGCACTCGAGTCGAGTATTATAGGTAATTCAGATGTTTGTGGGCAGAGATACAGGTATCTTTCTATAAAATAAGATGTCATCTGGCTGTACAGCGCTCTTTCGTTAAAACCTGGGTCATTTATGCATTTATGTCAACAATTTTCGGGCACATCTTCTTGATTCACGAAAATTGAGGGACCAACCCCTCCCCCTTAAAAAATATGTGAGGGGACGTCTACAGGGTGGCACCAGCGGGGACTCGTCGTGGAGATATGACACCCAATGGGGGGGGGGGGATCATATTCTGTACATATTTGTAGAATCTAAAATCGTTTAAATAAGCGTTTGAAACCCCTAAATATTCAAAATTTCGAGGAGCTTCGCCACCAGACTACTTTCATGGCATTTAAACCGACGTCTGACCACACCCACTTTGTTCTCGTCGGGGAAATTTTCGTTCTCGTCCGGGAAATTTTCTCCCTCGTCGGAGACATCGCCCCCCCCCCCGGTCGGAGATCTCGGACCCCGCGTCGGCCAAATCCTGGCGCCACGCCTGGATTTTAACCCCTTCCCCCATGAAATGCGCCCATTGGCGCGTGAGAGTCCACCACCTCAGCCCCAACATGGTTGGTGCTGAGTTGCGAAAATTTTGAGAAATGGACCTCTGGGTGCCCGGAAATTGCACTCTCATACATAGTAACTTTTTCAACCCGCCCCTTTTTATTATTTTTAAAAAAAAAAGGGAAAAAAAACAATTATTTTTTTTTTTTTTATAATGGGGGGGGGGGGGGGGGGGTGCGATTGCACCCTATGCACCCACCCCAGGTGTGGGTGTAGGTTCTAGGGACGTGGTGAATCTTACTCTATTATCGTCTACCCTTTTGGCCTTACTATTTTAAAGGGATGCTAACATGCATAATATATAGGCTACTAGGAGTTATACCACCAACCTTGAAGAAGAATCCTAAAACAGCGAGACCCTTTGGTTGGGTTAGTGCTTCGCCAATAGATCTGAACCTGTCACTATCATAATGAACGATGTGAAGCTAAATGAAAATGATAGAATAATAGATTATTTCAGAAAAAAAAACATTAAACAAAACCCTTTTTCCCTAAATCGTACCGATCTTGTTATTGTTAATATCGTGTTTTGTTTCCAAGTAAAAATTAGTGCTAATGGACAATGCTACATACATTATGTTTTTTTTTTACCACCTTTTAAAGCATATACAACAATAACAACAATATGAGAGACCTAAAACTAACCTCGGCCGGATACTGCCTACCATCAATTAGGTGCTCGGAACCTACGGAATCGTCGCTACCCCAATGGAAGTGAAATTGCTCGGCTATGTATGTATTTTCTAGGCCACCTCCTGCAATCTCCTCCGAACCATTCAGATGTACCATTACTATAAACAAACATGAATTTATTGCTTCTATTGTGCATTCATCAGTACCCTGTATCAGTTGTATCAGTATGGGTAACATTTGCACCATCGTCCGTGGTTGTCCTCGGCACTATCATCGCCACTAGTCATGTCGAAAGCAATCAACGTTGATATCGTCATCTACGAAATACCACCATCACCACCCCAATCATCATCACTATCGTCATCGTCATCATTGAAACTGACAGCATTATTATTTCCCCACTTTCATCACAATATCAGCAGTTAAAACTTCCCTCGTCCGTATTGGCACATTCATTAGCACCACTGTCAAATTGTACCACCAAAAACATTACCGGCTTCAACATACATTAACATCTTTAACCAAGATGAAACTATCATTCTTATTATAACACTGTGCTTAACGGCAACGTCCATTGGCAACGTTGACATTATTATTCTCTTACTATTTTTATCATCGTCATCATCATCATCATCGTCATCATCATCATCATCATCATCATCATCATCATCTTCATCTATCATTGCCCTTATCATCATCGTCTTTATCCTCGTCATTGCTATCACCGTCATTACCAGTATTATCGACACTATATTATTACTGCCGAAAGTGTGTCGGCACTATCGTTGCACCGTGGCTATTATTGCTGTCGTCGTCACCTGAAACGATGTATTTTTTAACTTACACGTGTGTCCATTATTCTCTAAATGCATTCGCACCTCGTGTACTGGTACAAGATTTGTTAAAACTAGTGGATCAAAACTCCTGTACTCCGTATTTACGATTGAAAATTCAATCGGCGACTGCTTCTTTCCGTCACAATCCGAATTTGGATACAGTGTTGCCCAATACTCAGGACCTGTTAAGAAATCAAGAAAGTTTCCATTCGTTTTCCAACATTTAAAATAATGGTGGTGGTGGTGGTGGTGGTGGTGATGATGATGCCGATGAAGATAACGATGACGATGGTGACGATGATGACGACGACGATAATGTGGATGATAATCACGGTGACCGATGTTGACAAAAACAAAAATATATAAGGTACTTTTCCATTTTTAAATACGTTATCCGGACGTGACAGAACAGCTAATTGTGAAGTAACATAATAGGGGCCGTCCTAGGAGAAAACCTAGAGCCAGATTAATGTTGAATTCTTACCTGTCTCACCATGGTAACCCCAATTAGCTTCGTATTCACCTGGAAAACATGTTCGAAGATATTCCCGTGTTAATTCGGATAGAAAAAACCCCGCAAGCTTACGAAAAAATAACGAATACGGTTACGTCTTCAGATTTTAAGTCAATCCATTTTCTACTGTTAGCATATCACAACGTAGGCCATCCGTGCCTTTGACGTGAATCAACGATCATATCAAGCTTTCATGTGTTTGTCAAGAATGTTTTAGGCAAAATGACTGATAATAACAAAGATGATTCGTATTTTGTTATCGTTTTCGTAAGGATACAGAATCTCCCCAAATGTTTATCCGCCTTTATTACTCATCATTATTCTATTATTATGTGCATTAATAATAATAATAATGAATTATAAATACATAACATTTAGGTCTATTATTGACAATACAGTCCTTAAAAACAACCATAATTATAATCGAAAAACTGTAATACTCATAATACTAACAATATTAAAGGTTGAAAGTGACTGTTACAATATTATTGGTAATTTAAAATTAAATGTCTAAAATATATAGAATGAAAAAAATAAACCTAATCTTGACATTGACTGACCGTAAGCGGGAAATGTCAGCGCTAATGCGATCAACACTTTCAAACACAACATCACGAAGCGTCAATAGATACTGACTGAACGCACGATCTACACGAAAACACTTAATTATGTAAAATAATTATGTAAGAATTTCTACTCACCTGAACAATGAAATACTACTGAGGGCGCTAACCTCAGTTCTTTACTAACACAGCTAAAAATAGCAATTTCCATTAAAACAAATAGATTTTTCAATAGTCCAATCCCGTACTATATCTGATTACTCAATAACTCATAAACAGCAATGTTAACCTTGATGATTTGAGTGTGCCACCCTCCTTCCCGATTGGTGCTACAAATTTTCGGTCCAAATAATAATAATAATAATTATAATAAAATAATAATTTTTTTTCTATATATATATATATATATATATTTTTTACTTTTTATTTATTTTTTTTAAATATGCATTTCTTGTATCTTCTTTTTTTAATATTTTAATGTTTTTGCCGCTTTCTTGCCCATAACTTTTGTAATATTACAAGCTATTTGGCCCATTGCGCCACCATTTGTAATAACTCTGAGAGTTTTTTATCAATAAAGTGAAGTGAAAAATCCTACTAAAAAGCATAAAGTATGTTGATATAACTATCAAGGTCAAAAAAAAAAAAAAAATTACAAATCTGCATGATGTTGTATGGTATAATTGGTACAACGATTATGAGTGGAGCGTGATGCTGTTAGCCATCCTTGGTACCATCGATAGACATTTCCGCTAAACTCTGCCCCTTACATATTGTTGTTAAGAAAAGCGTGTTTGTGGGACATGTGCGTAATCCTGGCCCTGTTCTGATTGGTCCTATATAAAGCTTGATTGACACCCCAGAAAGGTCCGTTGTGATTGGTTACCAAGGATGTTGACACCAGTCTACCACGTTGAGGTAGCATCTCCGACTTCAGACTGGAATTATTTTGTTTTCCTATTTTACAGCCTATTTTTATATTGTTTTAATTAATTAGGTTAAGTGTCTTATAATTATATAGAATAAATACAATTTTATATTAGGAAGTTTAATTTTCTACAGCCATTTCTTCCAGGTCCGCAAGACCAAATGCTGTCTTATCACAAATCATTACTTTTTCTATAATCGTAATACCACGTTGAACTACGTTATAATCGATGACGTATCCATAACGTCTGAGTTCTGATTGGATATCTAGCATAAAATCAATCATGTGATCTCTGACAGACTCTGTCGTTCCGAAGTGCGCCCAAGGATTTCGAGTGATTTTCTGTCTTTCATTTAATGATTTAAAAAAGTCTGTATTAGCTTCATATTCATAACTTTCATTCATAAGATCGTCAGAGGAATTGGGGTCACTGGCTGGGAAATGAAACAATATATCACCATCGCCCACTACTACAACAGTGCTACTATCGCCACTAGAATTGTTTATGCTGTAACTACTACCACTGCTACTATCACTGGTACTGCGACTATCACTGGTACTGCGACTGCTACTACCACTGCCACTGCTATTGCCACTGCGACTGTCACTGCTACTGCCACTGCCAATGCCACTGTGACTGCCACTGCTACTATTACTGCTACTGCTATTGCCACTGCAACTGCCACGGCTGCTGCCACTGCTACTACAACTAGTACTACCACTGGTACTACTACTACTACTACTACTACTACCACTACTACTACTACTACTACTACTACTACTACTACTACTACTACTACTACTACTACTACTACTACTACTACTACTACTACTACTACTACTACTACTACTACTACTAATACTGCCACTGCTGCTGTTGCTGCTGCTGCTGCTACTACTACTAGTAGTACTACTACTTCTATGCCAAGGTGTGCTATTTCCGTTGCTTATACCAATAATTAAACTACCACTAGCAATATCAATAGCTCTATCACTACCAACACTACCACTATTAGTAAGACTAGGCTTTCTACTTATATCATTATTGTCATTGGTGCTACTATTAAACATATTGACTAGGTCTATGTTGTCGCTTGGTGAGGACAGCTGAATACCAGGCTTACTACTACTTCTAGAGTTAATTTTGTTATTTCCATCAATGTTATAATTTTTCGACTTCAAAAGTGTATCTAATTCTTCTACTACAACTAACTCACAAACACTGGTAGTAGTAGGTCTGCTAACACTTTTTCTGGAATAGGGGCAGCCCCTAGATCCAAGCCTTGGTCTCCGCTTTTGGCTGGACCTAGTAACGCGCATTGTGGCCGGATACTCAACTGAATCTGATGATTTAGCCGCCGTTCTCTGCTGGCCTTCATCTAAAGATGAAATTATTTCTCTCTTAAACTTCAATTTTGCCATACTAATGTCAATAAGTATAGCAGACGAAAAAGAGAATCGATGCGTGGGATTTTAAAACTGGTTCGGAGATTAAAACCGGTAATATTTCGATTAAATGAAGAGCAATTTCGAAGCAATGTTCATCGGTTGATAGAAGAAGATACTTCTGATTATTACATCACAAGTTTCTTTCACACTCCTTTGAATCAGAAATTACGTAATAAAGGTTGTTCTTATGTTCTATTGTACGCGCGAAGCGCGTAAAGCGCAGAGCTGACCAATAGGATTACAATCAACTTGGTGACACACAAAGAGGAAGAGCGAGAGCGTATTGCATGGTTACATGGAGAACTTATTTTATACCAGTGTTGGTTACCGTGTATCAGTTCAATTACATAATAATAAAAGTAGAAGTTACAACAATGTCGAGGTCTAGCAAACTGGTCAAAAATGGCAAATGACATTTATCCGTCCAAACGCCATACAATTTTGAATACAGAATGTTAGGTGAAAATCTAACTATCGTCAAGAGTGGTCGATACATAGGAATTACACTTACCGATGATTTATCATGAGAACTACACATAAACCAAGTTATAAATGACTCAAATAAAATTCTTGGATTTCTCAGAAGAAATTTTTCAAAATGCGACTAGCAAATCAAAGCAGCAGCATACAAATCACTCATTCGCCCAAAGCTTGAATACGAATGCTCAGTTTGGGACCCAAATCAAGTTCGTCTAATAAACAAATTGGAAATGGTGCAAAGAAGAGCTGGAAGATTCACAGTATCTGACTACAACAGAATGTCAAGTTTCAGCGCAATACTACAATCACTTCAATGGCCAACCCTAAAACAACGCCGAGAAAAAAACCAGGTTATTGTTATTTCAACAAGCCATCAAAAATGATATTGCTATAAATATTCCGACGTATGTCAGCAAATCGTCAAGAAAACAAAGAAATGTTAACGAACATAAATACACCCCAATTCAATGTCGCACACAAAATTACAAACATAGTTTCTTGCCTAAAACAATAAATGATTAGAATAATCTTCCATCTGAGGTCGTCCAGGCTAATGAAGTATCAATTTTCAGATCAGCTCTAGATAGGTATTATCAAAATTAAAGTAAGTTAAAAATAAAATTTTCTCAACTAATATGAAATACTCTTTAATAAACTTGAGCACACGTTGCACACTAGCAGCAAAACACATTGGATGAAAGTGCTGAAGTTACCAGCGATGTCCAATTAGCGATTCTGAGATTCTTGAGATTTTGAGGGGAAATCCACATGGGTAAGCCTGGAAGGATCCCGTAGTAAACCATTATTATAGAGAACGATTTTTTCCTCTCTGGATACTTTGAAATTTATAAAATACCAACTTTGTGCTGATTGCATATAA